AGTTATATTATTTAAAGAAAAAAATGTTTAGTTTGGACTTAAATAAAACAGTAAAGAACCACCTGAGAATAATCACTTCAATCTAGATAGGTAGATACCTATAACAAGAATTATTCATAAAAATTACTTATATTTTCCAAACCTAACCAACAGGATTATTGGAAATACCAACAAAAATAATCCGGTTGGGGTTCGGCTCGAGGGATAGGGCATCGATATATTGAGACCAAACTTGTTATATGGATGTAAAAAAAATCGTAGATTTTAATTGTTTTTTTTTTAAAGTTCTAAATTAATTTTTTGGGGATGCCACCCCTCTAGGGGATGGTGGTGGTAAGATTTTTATACAAAAATGTTGCAAATCATTTCTATTGTAAATATGCCAAAAATAAGATTTTTATGTCCTCTGTAACTGTTTTTAAATGCCAGCCCCTACATCCGAACTATGAAGATTAAAGTCGAAACTTTTTTAAGTTAAAAAAAAAATTGGAAAATTTTTTTCAAAAAAATTGTAATTTTGGGTTTTTATATATGTCGTAGACTTTAACTGTTATTTAAAAAGTTTTAACTTAATTTTTTGGGGATGCCACCCTCACCATATCAGAAAGGGGTGGTGAGGGGTGAATTTTTTTAAAGCGATTTTTATTTTTATGGGATAATACATCCATATACCAAGTTTAGTTTCAATATTTCGATCCTTAATGCCATATCCCCCAGAGCCGAACCCCAACCAATAATCCATATAGAACCCATTGTTTTTACTTCAATATTAAGAATTCATTTATATTATTTACCAATCATCCTAAGGGTTTTTTTAAGTGCATTGTTACGCACCAGATTAAAGAAATAACCTGTTGTTTATAATTACTTATGCTAAGTACCTTACCTACCTACCTACCTACCTACCTACCTATAGGTATATGTATTTGAATTAAAAATATAATTTTTCTCAACACTTAAGAAATGTATTATTATTGCTATTATTAATATTATATAATTTATTTTAAACTAATTTGGATAAAACCTCCAAAGGAAAAGAAAAACAAAAGTATATTTTCTATTTTATTAATTTCAAAACAGTTATAAATACACAAATTTTTAATTCTAATTTTAAAACATTAATTAATAGTTAACTAATTTATATCATAATATATATCATTAAGAATTTGACATAGTACAACTAAAGATTATCTGATTAAAAATAAAACTATTAAACGAAATATGCTTAGAAAAAAAAATACCCGTTTTCGAAATGCAGGGTGTTAAAGTTGAAAATTCAAAAATTGTTAATGGCTATAATATTTTTATTTTTCAGTATCATTTTACTGAATTCGGTAAACATTTTTGACACTTTATAAAAACTAATTTAAACTATAATTCAATTTTTTTATATAAGTCATGTAGGTACTCTTGTTGAGAACTCGTCCTTTATTAACAGTAAAATAATTCAGTAATAAAACATAAACACAACTCATTCACAATACCTACTACCCGTAAACGCACTAATAACGCACAATAACAAACATTAGATAGAAAATAGTCCAAATAATAAATCAGGAGTGAATGAAATTTCATCCAAGAGCTAAAAATAGAAATCCATCGATCGGTCTCCGTCATTTACTAAAATTTCAGGTGGACCCTCAACTCCGCCCACTGCAAAAGAATATCGGTTTATCCATATTCACTAGCGCCATCTATTGGTAGTATTCATTTCGCTCCAATGAAACTTCCATAAGGTGAGACTACTATTAGTTCTTTATACAATGGTAAGTGTATCGTATAGAAAACAATTTATATTAAAACTAGTTTCCTCGTCTGTTAGGCTGTAAACACTTGTTGCGATTCTGCCTTTCTATCGCAGTTTTCTGTTACCTTTTTGATGCTGTCGCCTTGTTCGTATATTTTTAAATAATAATTAATTAATTTATTTTATGATTTGGAATTAAAAATTTGTAAATTCTTTACGCCCATTTTGTAAATGTCTACGCATCAGTACAGAGACAACATTGCATATGGATTTGTTTGTACTGATTTAAATGTATTATTTGTGAGATAATTTTTTGAGTATTGATTGTGTTAAAAGTTTGTTTATTGCCACAAATAATTAACCATATTATATGGGATTTTAATCAAGACATTTCACATTTAGGCCGCATAAGATCATTGGTAAGTTTTTTTTTTTGTTTGATTTCTTAATTGTAATAATTTTCATCGTGAGTTATTATTTGGACTACTTCTAAAGCAAATTTATCTGTTTTAGTCCTTTTTCTTTTTATGTATATATTCTCATTACTTTGACCTGCGCCATTTATGCTTAATTGAATAAATACATAGTACATTTCATTAAATTTGGGACAAAAATGCCGAGAGATTCCTAGCTTTTGGTGTCTAAAAGGCTGTTCTGGAATCTAGGATAAGTACCTGATTTGAAGCCATATTCTGCTGTTCGAGGTAGGCTCATTCCTTTTTTTTTGTATCTGATTTTTGGACGAGCTGATGTCCAGTATTATGTACAGGCCGGGGTTTGCAAATGAACAATAATAATTTAGTTCGTTGTGTATTTATTATTTAACATTCAATATATTTGTTTATAAAATTAGTTTAAAATAATAATTAATATTTAAATTGCGTAAATTTGGAATAATTTTCACTTAGGATTTAATATAATTAAACGTAATAATTTATTAAATCATAAATGTTCCTAGTTATAAGATAATTTCAGTTATTTTCACTGCAAATAAAAGGTATTTTTATTATCTATTCTTACGTGCAGTATAATGTAAGAATTTGGCCAAATTCACTCTTGTAAATATTTTATACATAATTATTTAATAGAGTAATTATTATTATTATTATTATTACGTTGGAGTTAGTGATTTCTTTGTATTTTTGTGGTCACAAGAACCTTTTGTATAACAAACCCTCTGATTAATAAACCAGATATTATTTCTGATTTAAATTACTTATTTGTTTCTTTGGATTGTTTATTTTTTATTATTAATAGGTTAGTACATTTCGCAGTTTTGGTATGCCTATGGGATGGAAAAATATATTTTTATTGATTTAGAGTGCGATTGGTACATTTTCTAAATTGCGTGGGGTCCAAATTGTAAGTTTTGTTGAACCGCGATCTTCGCTACTGAAGCAAGTTGGCTACCGTTCGTACTCGCTAGGAATTAGTGTTTTTCTTTTTTATAATTTTTTTTTTTTGAGTTGAGATAAAACAAAGCCTATTTTATTTTTACATAAAAAGCCAGGTAATAACTTTAAATTAATAATACGGTATGTATTTGTAAAGTTCAATATAATTGCTAATTTTGACTGAATCGCTATTTTATCATAACTTGCTTTCTTACTGCTTAGATTTTATCATTATTTTATAGTTGCTTTATTCGCTATTTCTCTTTGTATTTTTCCATTCTTAGGAAGTCCCAACACCCGAATTCTAATTAAACTATTGACAAAAATTAGACTTTAACTTTAACTTTTACTTGTTTTGAAACGTATTACGATTGGTTGTTTGATTTAAGTACGCAGTGGTGGAATAGTTTTCTAATTGGGACTTCCTTGTTTTATAATCTATATATATTGCCTGGCAGAATACTCTCGTTTTCTCTATTACAGATTACCTCACCGACTAGCGCCGTCTCCTTTACCCTAACGACGTCGCTACAATAGAGGAAAACTCCTCTTCTGAATAGTACTTGATCCTTGCCCTATCAGCATTACCGATCCCTTAAAGACTAGTGGGAGTTTGTAGCACCCTTCAAGGAGAAAAGCGAGATCACCACCACAGAGACCACAGCAAGGCAAGTTCAATTAGATCCATTCTCGTTGGAAATATAAATACCAATTCGTACATACAGTGATATACAAGCACAATAAATTGTTCTTTTTTTTTTTGTTAAATAAAATTGTTAAATTTTATTGATTTTTTTTATTACAAAGGTATGCCTTATTTCCTTAGAGATTAATAAAACTACTACTCTTTAAATAACATAAATAGATACAAATTAATACTTTGGATGACCGAAATAAAACTAAAATAGAAGTGACCCATTCGTCGTTGTCTGTCAGATCAAAATAAAAATGTCACTTTCTCTGACACAAAACATAGACGACAAATGACATTTGAGGTGATTGTGTCCGAAATAACGAAATAACGGTTCCAACCGTTACAATTTTCCATGGTAAAAACTGCCTGTTAAAATTAAATTTGTTCGATTATCAAAAAAGTGAAAGTTATAAAAAATTATAAAATTTATTTAATTAAAAATACCCATGAACACTTTTCGAATGGCAAGTTCCCATAGGCTGGGTATTAAATCAATTAAATTTTATGAAGAAAATGCCTCATCTGGTTACCAGATGGGTAAAAGTCGACCTCCCAAGGTCTCATGTACTATAATGTAACTGAAGCATTAATAATTATGATTTTATTATTTTGTTTATTCATTAATTTGATCCGGCCATTGGATTCGGTCCTTTGGAGGACATACGTGTCACCGTGCAGCCAACATGTAGGTGTCCTTTAGTAAAGGAGACACGTGGTGAATACATTCCTCGACTGCATCGTATGATATAACCGAAGATTTAAATTATTTTTGTATTACTAAGAAGTAATAATAATATTAATAATAATAATTATTATTATTATTTGCCTACAATAAGTACTACAATGCAGAATATAAGCACTGACCTATCATGAAGTTGGTTACATAAAGGGCCAGTTTTTTCACCTCTGTGTAAAGTTGAAAGTAACTATTTGCTGATTATACTAAAGGGCTATTGTTTGTTAATCTCTGAGATAAACCTACATTCAACTTTACGCAGAGGTGAAAAGATCGACCCTTAGGACAAGCAATTAAGATAAAACAAATGTTTTCTTAAAGAAAAAATCTTTCAGTTGGTATTTAACTTATCCTTAATGAAGATAGATCAATGTCTCACATATTTCGGCCAATTTTCCTTTATAATTAAATTAATTTGAATTATTTTAGCCGGAAGATCCACGAATGGCATACATGAGAAAGATGACGATACATGTGCCAAGCCAATTACCTAGACGCCATGCAGGTCATGATGATGACGATACAAATATCAGTGGGGATTTTGAACCTATACCTGAAGGCAGAGATCCGTTTCGACTACCTACGTCTATGGATTGTATGTATTAAAATGTAAAATGTTTAAGAGTTATTGCTCCGTTCATGAGAACTAATTTGTCGGCATATTACTCCTATTATATCCCTACCTTCAAAATTTCAAGAACGGGTCGTCGAGCCACATTTCCCCTATCATAGGAAATGGATCGACGATTTATTTAGTTATACCGGTGAATTGAAGAATTGAACGTATTTAGTAAAATTTTGAGCCTAAAAGAGAAAGTTATTTGTGAATTTAATATAGTCCGATAAGTTATTTTTATAACCCAGGATTAATTTTAACCAAATTTTTACAGAATAGACCCGTTAGTCAGATAAGCATGGACAACTCGATAGTCTTATTTTTTTAAGTATATCGAATTTCAAAAGACCTTTTTTATTATAAGTATCATTGGATAATTAATAAATTTCTTATTAAGGATTATTATTTTTAGGCACACGATAACGAACAGGTAATTGTGAATTTGAAAACAGTTCACATTTTAGGCAGAAAAAGACATTTTGAAAAAAATATGTACACAAAAATAAATGTAGAAAATCGTCATATTGTTGATACTCAGTTCTTCATAAAACAACTAATGGACCTAAATAATCATGCACCACAATTTTCCTGTTTAGTAAATAGTTTAATACTGTGTGAGCAAATAAAAAATGGTTTAAATTGTACGATTTGTAATGGTGATTTTCAAATTAAAACAACTAAATCCGATATAGACATTGACGCTGTTCAAGGAGGTATAGGATTTTGGAATAGTGAAGAATTATTTAATGTGCTAAATTTACAATTTATGTTTCAAAAAAAAATATAATAAATGCCATACTCAAGTTTGTGACGCATAGTAAGAGACAGCTGTAACCCTCTTTGATTTTTTTTGCGAAGGCACAAGGCGCGGTAGCTCACGTGTTTGGGGCGGGTCGAGGTTCGATGACAAAGAAATATATGTCAAGAAAAATTAATATAAATAATTACTTAAAGCTGGGCGCCAGTAAGTTGTGGTAGTGTTTTAAACTTACAAGTAAACAAAATATTAGGCCTGAAATGAAAACTTTTGGGGAAAATAAAATGATGAAATTACTACAATTTCTTTTATTTCATTATAGTAGAGTATTTTTAAATAATGGTTAATTTATCTTCTAATCGTAGCATTAGCTGATTATTCTATGGTAAATACCTTAAGTTCAAAATCGTACAATATTGTTGTGTTCACACTCCCCCAAATATTTTAGACATAATATTTTAAATTTACACCAAGATAGTAGTTCAAATAAAAAAAAACATCAAAACAAGTATTAAATTTGATTTATGAAAATTGTGATAAAGAAATTATTATTTACTTAATTTAACTTAAAAGAAAAATTAGAAATTTTTGACCTTAAACGAGATAACGAAAAAAAAATCCCTTCGAGATGGTGATGAGGACATGTCGCAGTCCGGTAACGAAGACATGGGGATGACGAATTAAATATTTAGCCCTGACCTTCATCATAGACGGAGTAAACCCTTCTACGGAAGTGTTCCAAGAAGCTGAAGCTCTCAACAGTAAAGCTGTCGCCGCATCAAGCTGAGACATCCAAGTTTCCAATGTTATACAAAATTATAAAATATACAAAAGGCTGGTTTATCAAAACCACGGACCTTATTTGTCGGCTTTTTCTGTACCAAAAAAATATGGTATACAGGGTGTACCAATAAAAACTCCCAGGCCGGATATTTTGGTACGTACAGTTCATCAAATTTCTAGAGGCTTTCGACGGCTAGACAGAGAAAGCACTACTGACAGGCATCCCGACGGATTTACGCAATGAAAGTACACTCTGCGCATCAAGTATTTCACTATTTCATTCAGACGTAAATGTCAGATGTAAATTTCGCTAAAACATTTCTTTTATTTTCGTTTGTGTTTTTTGCTCATTACAGTTTAATAGAACCTAAGTATGGAGTTTAATAGCAAATTAAGAGCCCGCGTGATTAACAGTCAATCTCGCGAAAAAATAGCCAATGTTATAGAGTTTATGAGAAGAGAAGGAAACTTTAGTTCACCTTCAATACCATTTAAAAATGTAAATGATCGTGTTGCTGCAGCCACAGGAGTATCTAAAAACACTGTCGTCCGCATTTCTGGAGAGAAAAAAAGAATCGATAACCGTAAGATATCGGAATTTTCATCACCAAGAAAAGCCATTAAAAAACCAAAAACAGTTAATGATATAGATGAAGCTGCACAAGAAATTGATATGAAACCCATGAAACCACCAACAAAAATGTAAAGCTAGCTTCCGTACTAGAACATGGTGTCATTCGTCGAGATAATTTATCGTTTTGTTTAATAGATCAAAAAATGTAAATATTCCCGTTATTTTTTATAAAATTATAAGAGAAATAATTTTTTTTCTAAATAGTATAGTTTATTATTTTGTAGAAAAACAAAATTTCGAAAATTTTAGTAATGTTTCAGAAACAACCGTTATTAATAATAGGTACCATTTTCCTTAATAAGGTAGAAATAAAATATAAACTATTTCCACGATTTACAAAGGCCTACAAAAAAATTATAGGTATTTTCCGCTATCCTATAAAATTTATATTTTCTGACTCAATTTCAAAAGGTTGAAGGAATTGCTAAACACCTTTTATGGCATAATAATTATTTTCAATTCTACATACTATCTTTAGCTGCTTTTAAAAACGTTCTAAGAAAGTCCAATCAGACCAATTTAATCCCTAAACTATTCCACACTTTTAAAATTTAATTACCTAAAAATATTAAAAACTATTTAAAATAACTTGTTTAGCAGACTGTACAATAGCTATCTTAGTCACACGTAGCGCGTTCTCTGTCTGGGCGTTGAACACCTCTAGAAATTTGATGAACTGTAATAGAGATTTTTTAATTCTGTAAAAGCCAGTTCATAGAGCGCTAAGAGATCTTCAATTTTAGATATAAATTGATTTTAAATAGGTCAATATGTAGATGGCGCTGCGCTCAATAATTATTTTTCGATGGGAGAATCTTTCTTATGTAGCGCATCTTGTAAAAAATGCATTTTTAAGTAAATTTTGTTCTATGAACTAATTCGATAAATCTAGCCATTTTTGATACACAGAGTAGGTCATTCAAAACAGTTTCATCCCTTTTTTCGGCATTAATTATTGTATTTTTGGAAAATGCTAAAACAGGTTGATTTTTATTTCAAATTAAAGACATTTTTGCAATACAGACATCTGTCCTGTGTCAACCCCCTCCCTTCCACTTCTCCAACCCCTTAATTTTAAATAAGGAATGTACCATGTACGGCACATCATTTAAAAAGTAATTTTATGGGGAAGTCAGAAATATGACAGTTTATTGCGAACCTTTTAATTTTAGCGCCCTCTATCGGGACAAAAAAATCTAACGTATTTAAAAGTGTGACACTTCATGTGAAAGGTAATTTAAATACTAATTCAATGCGCCACATAACATTAATAAAAATATTTCTATATTGCACTTGCAACAAAATAAAGATAGCAATAATGTTTAAAATAATTGACTAATTTTTAAACTACTACAAGAGCAATGTGGATATTTATATTAATATTAAGTTATTAATTAATGTTATGTGGTACATTGAATTAGTAATTAATACGTAGTTTTTTATCCCGATAGAGGGCGGCACAATTAAAAGTATCACAATGAACAGTCATATTTCTAAATTTCCCATAAAATTACCTTTTTAATGATGTACTACACATTGTAGTATCACACTCTATAATACGTAGTAGTTTTTATCCCGCTAGGAGGCGATAAAATTTAAGTAACGTAATTTACAGAAATATTTCTGAATCCCCCATTAAATTACCTTTTTAATGATGAGCCATACATGGTACATTACCTATTTAAAATTAAGGTATGGAGAAGTACAAGGGAGGGGGTTGACATATGACATATCTCTATATTGTATAAATGTCTTTAATTTGGAATAAAAATCGACCTGTTTTAGCATTTTCCAAAAATACAATGATTAATGCCGAAAAACAGGATAAAACTGTTTTGAATGACCCACTCTGTATATCAAAAACGGCTAGATTTATTGAATTAGTTCATTGAACAAAATCTGTTTAAAAATGCATTTTTTACAAGATGCGCTACACAAGAAAGATCCTCCCATCGAAAAATAAATATTGAGCGCAGCGCCATCTACATATTGACCTATTTAAAACTTGTTTATATCTAAAACTGAAGCTCTCTTAGTACTGTGTGAACTGGATTTTACAGAATTAAAATATCTCTATTACTTACCAACATATCCGGCCTGGGAGTTTTTATTGGTACACCCTGTATATTCCTATTTTTGTAGGTCGGCAAATCTAAAAATATGGAAATGCGATGGTAAATAATAATTTAATTAATTTAATTTTAAAATTCTTACCTCCTAAAAGTTAGGATGACTATGTAAAAATTAATATTTTATTTATTTATTTATTATTTATTTATTTATTTATTTCGGCTAAACCAAAGATGCTACTTAATCAGTCAGCTACTAACACGAAAAAGACCAGAGAATCGCCGAAACAAAAACCAAATTATCAAAAAAAATTATTAATAAAAAACGGCAATCTTGGCCTTGAAGTTTGAAACAGCCAATCAGACACCAGCAAGAGACTTCTAGCTCTGACGTCATTAAGAAATATTATTGAAAATGCAACGCTAAAAAAACCCTAAGTCACTGACAGAGAAATAACCAGTTTTGACATTGACATTAGATTGACAGCTACTGTCAACAGGTGTTTTATTTGAACTAATTCAATGAAAACAATGTTTACTATTTCAAAAAACAAATGTAAATATTTAACTGTTAATGATTTAAGACCCTGGAGGATTACAAGAAATTGTTGTACCTGAAGAAACCAAAGTATTGTATTTTATAATGAACTAGGTAAGTAGAAATTAATTTGTTTAATTTATCATTTTGATATGTTGTTCCCGAATCCAGTCATTTATAAAACCCCGGACTGTACTT